GCTTGGGTGAATGACCAGAGGAGAGCATTTATAAGGGTAATCGAGAGTCGTGCCCTCAAACTCCAACCATACTTTCGCAGTCGTGGGGATTCGATTTTCGGGCATCGGAGGATTGATGGGGAATGAACGAAGGTCGTCTCCGGTGAACGGTATCTTTCTGACGTCAATGTTGAGGGGATGCCAGTAATGTTCAAGGTCTGCAATTGCGGTGACGAGAAAGTTTAGTCCCTCGAATTGTGGGATGCGGGCTCTCCCCATAGCAAGGATGTGATTTGCAGCGAGTCGAGGGCTCAACTAACATTGTGACTCGTCAAATTTTGGACGCGTGCATGAACGAGGAGAGCTCACATCCAACCCCGGAGTATACTCTTGATAGGATAAAATTACTTGCTGGCTGGTATACCAATCGATAAGAATAAACATGTGGCCTCGGGTAAGGCTCATTGTCATTGTCTGGATGAGGAAGAGATTTTCCTGCAGATCAATACACCACCACATGTCGAAGATATTCTCCGGCGGCATTGGCAGAGTAAACACCTCACGAGAATGACCAGAGGTGAGATCAATCTCGTGGATGATAAATTCACTGTTTTCAGAGCGGTCGTTACTTAGTGTGCTCAGGGGTAGACATGATAAGCTTACGCTCTTTCAGAGAAGTCACCGAGTTTGGACAGCTGCTTCGGTGCTAGCAAGATGCGCAATACGCTTCCGTCGCAAGACATATCGGTAGCCATGGACCGCACTTTTGGCGCAGGCTTCTCCCAGATGCAGCGCGTATCGAAGATGGCGTATAGCTTGACAGCGTTGGATGTTTCTACAACTGCATATTTCCCACCGGGCAGGAGTTGGATACCACGCAGGCTTGCCGCATCGAGGTGTAGGTCAAAGGTGATCTGTCGATGAATTATGGGTGGTAGAGTAGCTGCAGGCTCCCACGTTTGTGGCCCATGAACGATTCGTTTGATGTCGTCGATGATATCCGCCGTCGAGTACAGCGCGAGTTCCGCCTTGGAAGGAGGAACAAGCAGCCCATTGGTAACAAGGTTTTGCATGAGAACAACCCAGAGCTGTTTCGTAGATGCAACTTTAGAAAGGTATTTATTGACCTAGCCGATCCGCTGGTCAGTCGCGACTCGCCACTTACGAAGATCTAGAGGAGGAGCACGCACAGCTGATACCGAAAGGACGGAATACACATCACATAGCGATAGAATCTTTATAAGTAAGTCTTCTCCCAAATCATGCAGCAGCAAGAGCTCAACATCCATAGCTGGACGAAAGGGCCACGAAACGAAAAGGCAAGCTGGATCTCCGGGCCGGCTACTAGTGGTAACCGGTGTTGGTTCCCACCAGCTTTGTTTGCTCGTGCTATGCACGTCCCTTAACCTTCTTTCTGTTCTTTCAAGTTCCCATTTTTGTTAGTTCCCGCCCCGGCCGCCGCTTTGTTCGCCTGAACTGCGTGGACTCTTTCTTAGAAGTTGCTCGCCCCAACGATTTCTTGAACTTCTGGCTCCATGGCAACACTGTCATTGCGTGACGCGTCTCTCAGGTTCAAGGCTTGTGGCCCTTCTCTCGAGTCTGGAGTGTCGACGTATCTTAGCCTACTCAACATTGAATGCTTTCACTCAGAATTGTGCGTTAAGATATATATTTCTCGTCGTCCCTCGCATATGCTTTTTATTTGCGATGAGCCGCTTCGATATCATGGAGTCCTTAGCGCAATGAATTTGGAGTTACCCTGGTCCCGGAAGACCCTGGAGACGAAACCTTACATTCAATCTCTTAAAGTCAAGACCATAGGCTAGTCACTTCCCTGCTTCCCATAGCACCACACCATGCCCAACTTCCACCTACCCACTTTCGAAAGACTGAACGCGACGGTGCCGACAGACGTCGACGTCGATCAGGTCGCCGCTACATGGATGCGTTCCTTGTCTCAGCACGCTGAGGAAGGCAACGCCCGCGCAGTGACGGCGCTCTTCATTCAAGACTCTTACTGGCGCGACATGCTCGCGCTCACATGGAACTTCCGCACCTTCCACGGCGCCGCCTCCATCGCCAAGTTCCTCGCCGACCGACTCCTCCCTGCCTCGCTCGCGAACTTCCGCATCAAGGAATCTGCGCTGCAGCCCCTTGGCCCCGACCTCGCGTGGATTCGGATTGCGTTTAATTTCACTGTGAAGGACGTCGGAAACGCGTCGGGGATTGTGCGTCTGGTGCCGCAATCGGATGGGGTGTGGCAGGCGTGGGGGATGTACACCAATTTGGAGGGATTGGAGGGGTTTCCCGAGAGGATTGGGGCGCTGCGGCCAGAGTTTGCGCCGGGGAGTCGCGCGGAATCTCGAAATGCTGCTGACAATGAACCTGTAGTCGTCATCGTTGGCGGTGGGCATAGCGGGCTGGCGCTCGCAGCGCGTCTGAAGGCGCTGGACGTTCGGGCTTTGGTGGTTGAGAAGAACGCGCGGGTTGGGGATAATTGGAGGAATCGATATGATAAGCTGCGGTTGCACGATCCGGTGTGGTATGATCATATGCCTTATTTGCCGTGCGTATTCTTTATCTTCATCTTGCTTGCTAGTTCGATCTCACTGACGTTGAGATATATATAATAGATTCCCACCGACCTGGCCGATATATACGCCGGCGAAGAAGGTGAGCTTTCGTGGAATAAATTTCACTTCCACTCAATGCGTTCATTCGACCTTGTTCTACATAGCTCGCAAATTGGCTAGAAACCTACGCCGACGCCTTGGACCTCGACGTATGGACCTCGTCCACCGTTCTCGCCGCCCAGCCCTCTGCTTCGGGCAACTGGAAAGTCGTAATCAACCGCGACGGAGCAGAGCGCGTGTTCAGCAACGTGCATCATGTCGTCTTCGCTACGGGGTGGGGCGGCGGGCAGTTGAATGTTCCGTCGTTTCCTGGGATGGTGCGTTTGGCTTTGATTGCCTTTTCATTCTTTCTTTGTTGGTTGATTGATTAACATTGTGATCTTGAAGGATAGGTTCAAAGGCGAGATGATGCATTCGGCGGAATATAAACGAAGCGAACGTTATAAAGGGAAGAAGGTGGTTGTAATTGGAGCTTGTGTCTCCGGTGTGTTTGCATTCTGTTTATCTTCTCTCTCTCTTTTACATGAATCCTTACTATTGCTTGCAGCCCATGACGTCGCGGCGGATTGCTACTCCCAGGGCATCGGTGCGTCTTCAAAGTTCATTCTCCCTGCCCTCCTCTTCATCCCATACACATACATTTAATTACCGTATTTAACAACCAGATGTCACGATGTACCAACGCACCTCGACCTACGTCATGAGCACGGGCCACGGGCTTTCCGCGCTCATGAAGCCGAGCTATTGGGAGGGCGGCCCGCCGACGGAGAATGCGGATCGGGATGGGGCGTCGTTGGCGCCGAGGGCGGTGGTGGAGCTGTATCGGCGGTTGACGGGCGCGGTGGCGGAGGCTGATAGGTGAGTCGATGTATTAGATCTTCCTCAACTTTGAACTTTGATTTTAATTTGGAGATGGCAGAGAACTGCTGGATGGGCTGCGCGGGTGCGGGTTTCGCGTGAATATGGGGATTGAGGGAACGGGGAGTGGGTTGCTTTCTTTTGAGAGGGGGGGAGGGTATTATCTGGGTGGGAGTTTTTCAGCTTCGGGCTTGGTGATTCAAATTGCTTTATTGATACTTGAGCTTTGCGTAGACGTTGGCGCGAGCGAATTGCTCATCTCGGGCAAAATTAAATTGAAGAACGATAGCCTGATTTCGGGGTTTACGGAGCGGGGGGTTAGATTTGAGGATGGGAGTGACGTGGAGGCGGATGTGGTTGTTTTTGCGACGGGGTAAGTTGCGTTCGGCATACTTAAGCTTATATTCATTGATATGGGCTTTCTGATACCATAACTTTGAATTCGACTGCAGCTTCGGCGACGCGCGGGATACGATACGCAAAGTGTGCGGGGACGCCGTTGGGGATCGGTGCGCACGGGTGTGGGGGCTCGATGAGGAGGGGGAGGTGAATGGGGCGTGGCGGGGGATGGGGGTGCGAGGGCTTTGGTATATGATGGGTGGGTGGTCTTTTTCTCGGTTCTTCGGGTTCGGATTCGTTTTTGGAATTCATCTTGATTGATCTTCAACGTAGGCAATCTGGCGATGTCGAGGTTTTATTCGAAGCATCTTGCGTTGCGTATGTTCTTTGTTTTTTCTTCTCTTGCTGTCTGTGTGGTTGGTGCTCATGAGTGATTATGAAGAAATTAAGGCCATGGAGGAGGGAGTTTTTGGAGAGCGGTATGGTGCGTAAAGACGGATTTGGGAGGGGAGGGGGAGGGAGCAATACCGAACCAGTTTATATTGAATGCCGGAGAAGCGGTTGTGAGCAGCGAGGGAATCGTTGAAACAAAGAGATGGAATTTAAATTTTATTCGAAAAGAAGCGAGCACTGCTCGAATCACAACAGGGAATGAGTTGAGGCTGGATCGAGCTTGCAGGTTAGAGCATATGCATGGATCTGAGGGTGGCTCGAGAAAGGTAAGTTTTGCTGATACTACGAGTCAAGTTGTGTGGACGGGAAGGCGCTCGATTTGAATTTTTGAGTCGATTCCGATGTTTCTGAGTTGATGTGAATCATGTGATTCCCGCTCTCGAGATTGAGCTTTTGTTGTTCGTCCGGGAAGCACAATTAACATTGGAAAAGTAGTCGCCAGTGCTCGGCGCAGAAAATGCTTGACGGCTGAAGTGTAAAAACTGGATGGAGGAAGAAGGCAAGTCCGAATCGGGCGGAAATGTACACAAGACCAATCTAAGACACACAAAGACAAGCCTGATCGGATTTTTTTTTGAGAACTCTTCTCCTGTCCGTCAGTTGAGGTCAGTTGTCCGTCAGCGACCCTTCCTTGGCTTTTGAATGCTTTATTGCAATTTTTTGCTCAGGATCTTGGTGCAACTAGAATAGGTATGCTGGACACCAATTCAGACATGTCAGTTGCGAGTTTCGACGAAGGCATTAATGGGGTAGTGGTAACCTGGGTCGTTGCCATACGAGGTTCGAGAACTTTCGACCCGCCGGGGGTTCGATTCCCCCTTAATGCATGCAGTAAACTAGGCTGTTTCTTTTGGTGGCCGTCTCATGGCTCGTGTCTTTTTCTTCAATCGAATTTGATTTGCTACGTTTGTAAGCGGCGCAGATGACAAGGGATTTTTTTTCGCGGACTAACATCATTCCTCTGTTTTACCGCTGCCAGATGAAGTCTGTGAAGGCACCTGAACGCACCCGGAGCCGCTCCTCTTCCAGCTCGGCTGCCGGTACGCGCCGGCCAACATTGATCATTGATCAAATTTCGGTAACCCCCGCACGAACCTTCAGCCTTTCTTCGACGGCTCTCACATGAACATCCCCTCCGCGTCTCCCTCAAGTTTCGGCCATCGAATTCTCCCTGTATCGCAACGTGCTAATCCTCCCTCGTTTCTCCGTTCACGTCTTGCGCGGCATTATGACTCGTCGGACACACCGGACAACACCTCATCGTTTAAGACCCTCTCGACAGGATGTACTAGTACGCTCCAGCAGCTGACGACGTGCCAGTGCATCTCCACGCAAACGCGTTTGGCGCCACCGTTGACGATGAGGGTTTGGGGGACTGTAGTCTCGACGATTGGGGGGCTGGGGGGCTGTGGGAGAAACACGATTTCAAATTGTGAGTACGCCGATATTGAGATACTTTTTTGTCTCAATTATTTCCTTGGTTGGTCTGATTTTGGATTGTGTAGTCCTTGCGTCTCTGCTCTGACATGCAACCGCTATATATGCATATCTACCGTTCCCCGCCCGGGCCTCCTCGCCGCCACCACATCCACTCCCCTCGTCAGGACTTCTCGATTACACCAGCCTTACGGCCTCTCCGCTATCCGTGAGGTAGGGACGCGACGCCGCCGATCTGCCAATCGACCCGAGCACACATGTAGGTGAGCGCTGAGCATTCGTCGCTATATCGTCAATGCTAATTCACGCACCTATAGCGGTCTCTTTCTTCCTCCGTCCCTCCCATCCTTCCTCTTCCTCTCCCGTCCCTCGGCCCTTTCCGCTCAACGACGATTCCGCCGCCGCCTTGCTGCGCGACGCATTTCAAATCAATTCGACCTAATTCGTCTTTCGTTTCTTTGATTCGACACCGTGTCTCTCCTCTTGGATCGTCGTGCATCGTACAAGCTGTGCTCGCGGCGGATTGCGTGCTTACCGGTGCAGTGGGGTGGGTGGGGAGGTGAAGGTGGTGGAATAGTCGCGATGCCGGAGTGGGTTAGATGAGTTGGGGATGGAGTCAGCAGCAAGACGCAGATGAGGGCGGCGAGAAAGGGCGTCGGCTGCGTGCAGGGTGTGTTGAGCGTGCGCGAGGAATCGTCGGAGGAGAGGGTGAATGGATTCGTCTACTGCACCGACGACGAAGGCGAAGGCGACGGGATGGGATGGGCCATAGGTGCGTACCCAAGCTCTATCTGTGGAAGAAAGCTTGACGCGCTAACGACTCGTCATCTTTCACTCACAGTTGCATCTTCGAGTCGTCAGCCACATCTTAGATTCCGCCGCCGCTCAAAGCACCCACCTCAGCACTCTCGCTACCCTCACTGATGGAGATTCATCCATTCTTCCATTTGTACTTGCTGGCTTCACGATCGTGCGGGGCTGACGAGCGGAGGCTGGTTCGAGTTGGGCGCCGGACGGGGGAGGTGTGGTGGTTCGTCCGGTGGGGTGCATAGGATGGGGAGGAGGAAGGACGGACAGTGAGCTTCGTTGGTACGCACCCAAGCAACTCAGAAGGTGGACACGCTGATGAATGACCACTCCTAGACAGCGCCGCAATACGATTTCGCTATCATAGTCCTAGGAACGTACGGCGGCGGCCGGCTACAACTTCATACAAGCTACTTTGGTGCGCGTACATGCGGAAGAGGAGATGGGGATGGATAAGGAGGGAGGGCTGCGGGAACGAATCTGGCTATACACGTAAGGGAGCAAAGGTATCTCCGTATCTTGGATATGGATAGAGGATTGACCGCTGATGTTTCTTCATTCTAGTCTCTAGGCGGCTGATTGCTCAAGCGCTCAAGTCTCAGAGTATAACGCCAGCGCTACATCAGCGCCTTGACCTTCGCCTCCCGAAAAAATCGAGACTCAATCTTACCCCGCCCCCGCCTAACCTTCTTGGCCCTTAGCCGCAGCGGTATTCCTCCACACCTGTGTACCCACCCGACGGTCTGTCCACGCCGCTGCTTGGGTCGACGCGTTGAGTGTCTCCGTTTCCTGGGGCGTTCTTTTTGCTTTGGCCTTTCGTTCCGTCGAGAGCGAGCGTGGAAGGGCTGATGAGTGCTGTGGACACGTGGCGGTAGAGCGGAGCGGGGAGGTCGGGGTGAAGGAGGTCGAGGAGTGGGTGTGCTGCTGCTTCGGGAAGAGGAGGACGAGAATGAGAGTGGCGGAAGATTGGATTGAGCTGTGCGGCGCGCACGAGGACGAGAAGATGCCGGAGAATGGGAGCTGCGCGCGGGGAGAGGAGAAGCAGATGACCTCGTCGCTCGAGTGGCGAGCTGTTCACAAAGGATTCGGAAGCTTGACATGGAATGAGATAGAGGTACGTACTGGCAACTGCCTCGAGAGAATTGGTGCTGATGACTTTTCGTCTTCTCTCCCAGACACGGCACTGTCTTTTCTCTCAGAGGCGGTGCTGTCTTTCGCTCGAGCGAGGCTGCTCGATCTCGACGCGGGGTCTTCCTTCGCTTGTCGTTTCGGATTCTTGCTTGGGCGTGTATCAGCGGCTCTGGATCGCGATATGTGTGACTCTCCGAGTCGTCGTCGGATGGATGGTGGCGGCATCAACGCAGACGAAGAACGCTCGCGTTGTCTTCATGTCGAGGCTTTTGCCTCCCGACTGTCAATCTTTCGAAATTCAATCTTACCCCACCTACCCTCCTCACCTTGGTGGCAGCGAGGCTTATCCCTCGGCATCCCTGGGACCCGCCACGCCGCGCCTTGGATCGACGTGTTTGGTGCTGTCCGTTCCCTGGGGCTTTCGTTTCGGCTGAGAATAGGCATGGAAGGGCTGAGGAGGCCTGTCGATGAAGACTAGGATTGAAATCATTGGATTCGTCTTAGTGGATTCGCTGTTGACGGTGTCGAGAGAGGCGTGGTGGCGGAGGGAGCGTCGAGGTGGTGAGTGAGGTGCTGTGGTATGGTATCGTGACGGAGAGGTCTAGGAGAGAGTGTGGTGCTGCCGTGTCGGGGCGAGGAGGACGACAAAGAGGGTGGCGGAAGATTGGATTGGATGTGAGGAGTACGTTCTGTGTGAGTGGAGGAGAAAATGACAGAGGATGGGAGCTTTTGGGCGGGGAGAAGATGGAGGTCGAGGAATGACTGCCCAAAAGTGTCTAGCTGCAGATTTGTCAAGACACGGCGCGAAATGAAGGGTACGTACCCAAGCATCTGGTCTCAGAGCATTCGTCGCTGACGACCTATTACACTCTCTCCCGCAGACACGGTGCCGTCTTTTTGCTCGAGCGAGGCTGTTTGACGTCGACGCGGGCTCTTGTTTGACCTCGACTTCCTCGGCTTGTCGTTCCGGGTTTATGACAGCGAGGATACGTGCGAGCTTGTCGTGTATCGGCGGCTCGAAAGGGCGATATCTGTCAATCGTCGTTGGATGGGTGGTAGCGAAGGCCGAAGAACGCTCGCCCTCACGTCGCCGCAGATCTAGTCTGGGAGACGCGCTAGAATCCGCGGAGTCTGATGATGATTCAAAGCTCGTCGACCAAAGCCGTCTGCTAGTCGGCAGGATGCGGGGAGCGTGGTGCTGGTCGGACGGTGTGTCGGTCAGAGGGTGGAAACGAGGCTCGATAGCGGGGGCGTTGGTGTAGAAGGTGGTCGGGAACAGGCTGTGGGATTGGTGGTGGGCGGTGACGAGGATTGGAAGGTCGTCGACGAGAGCTGCAGGCTGCTCGTTGTTAGGATGAGGTCGGGAAGAGGCTCTGGGATTGGCGCCGGGCGGTAACGGATTGAAAGTTCGTCGACCAGAAGCCGTCTGCTGGAGGGAAGGGTGGGAGATCAAGTTGTGTGCAAAGGTGTCCTGCGCGAGGTTACGGGCATAATGCGTCTGAAGAGGATGCCCGAGAAGCCTTGGAGGAATGGCATACGACGGCTTGACACTCCAGACCCATTTCCTCTATGGCCTTGTCTTGGTCACTCCTGAGGTGGGCGAGGACGAGACGGTGTATGTCGGTAATAGAGGCGGATATGGACCGTCCGTATGAAGGTCCACGTACCATAGCCGACGTGGCTTGTCTGTCGTCTCCCCTGCTCAGACGTGGAGCCGACGTCCACTCCTTCCTGCGCCCTCTGCGTTCGTCCATCGATGCTTCTATGCCTCTCTTCCGTCTTGACTGGTCGGGTACATCGTGCTTCGATATTGTCATGATGAAATATCGTCAGGAGATAAGCTCCCGCAAAGTATGACATTCCAGAGTCATCGAATCTCTCATCGAGCAACTCTCTACACAGTACAGCTATGCCTGGGCGTCGTGCTGTCCATATTTGACCGGGTGTACATCACTGCGGCTAGATGTAATGATCATCTTGATATCTTACCGCGGGCCTCTGTGATCTTCGTATATATTGCTGCGTCTGCCACCAGCAAAGTAGTAACTGCACTTCTACCCGCAAGCTATGGACCAACCCGTCCCAGAGCGCTCTCTAGACCTCGTTCCCCTCGAGATCTGGGTACTCTGCTGGATGCTCTGCTCTCGCCGTCAAATCAGACGGCTCTCCCTAGTCTGCAAACTCTTCCGTTCCATCTCGCTCCCCTTCCTGTTCAAAGATCAATCCTTCCATGTTGCTGCCGTGTGCCACGACCTTTTCCGCGACAATTGGGTGGATCGGCTGCATCGTATGCACAGAATGGCCATCGAGTCGAGAGACTAGCAGAGCCGCCTTTCACATCTCTGATCAGCTCCTGGCAGGTCATATTCGGCAACGAGGTCCCAGTCGGCTCGCAGCATAAGGATATCGAGAATATACACCTCCTTGACGAGATGCGTATTCGGGTCCTCGA